CCACTACTACTACTACTACTACTACTACTACTACTACTACTACTGCTACCACTACTACTACTACTACTACTACCACTATTGCTGCTACTACTGCTACTACTGCTACTACTGCGATTACGACAACTACTTCGACTGCTAAGTCGCGGACGGGAATGAATCATTCTCGGCGCTCCCCTATCGCTAAGATAACGTTTCGTGCAAGGCGGGGGCGATACCCTGGGGTAGACCACCCGCTAAGGCGGCCGACGCAAATAAATTTCTCATTGGGGATTGTCATGGGAATTGTATATGGCAGGGGCGGCGAGGAGAAAAAGAAAAGGACAGGAAGTAGGGCGGCGAGCAGGAACAAGAAAAGGAGGAGGATGAGGTGGAGTAGGAGGAGGAGGGGAGGAGGAGGAGGAGGAGGAAGATGAGGAACAGGAGACGGAGGAGGAGGAAGAGGAGAAGGAGGAGGAGGAGGAGGAGGAGGAAGGAGAGAGGACTCCTTTCTTGCGGTCGAAGGGAACGGTGGTAATGACGGTCGAAGGAAAAGGAGGAGTACTTGCGGTCGAAGGGGGCGGCTCAATGATTTACGTGTTGCGGCTTGGCGCCGTGCTAAAGATCTCGCTCCGCGGAATACTCATGCCCACATGGGTGCTACCGATCGCACGAGACGGGGTTGTGAATTGCTTCATTAACTTCGTGACAGGACTACACGATCATAATATGTGGATGCGTGAAAGTCGGCACAACCGCCATCCGGCGACCAAACAAACAGGAGCCGTATCCAGGGAACCGTGAAAGTGAGCAGGACCGCCGACCCTTCCGCCGGGCTGCGTCCTTGAGGCAATTGCCTCGCGACGGGGGTGATCGCGCAACACCTGTGGATGCGCAAAAAAAGCATGCCCCCAACCAGCGCCCAAGGAAAGACGAACCGTGGTAGCCGGAGAGCACTGAGAGTTCGCAGGGCCGCCAGCCTTGACACCTGGCTGCGTCCTTGAAGCAACAGCCTCGCAACGGAGGTAAGCGCGCAGAACCTGTGAATCCCACCAGCCCTCCGGGCGTAGGTGGTTCCGGGAGTTTCCTCTTCCAACCTCCTTCATCCCCTTCGGGGAGGGGTTTACCCCTCCCCCTAACCCCCTCCCCTGGACTTGGACGGGGGGGGCCGCTGGTAGTTAGAGCGTCAAAAGCGGCCTCGGCGAGGAAGCCAAAATCATCGGTTTTGCTAGGGTTTTGGCTGATTTTGGAGGCTCCCGAGGGGGGAGGCTAGTTGAGGGACCCCCTTCCTTTGATCGATCACATCCAAGATGGCCCCAAGAGCGTTCCCAAGGCTCCCAAGAGCGCGCCAAGAGGGCCTCAAGAGGCGCCCAGGAGGCCCCAAGAGGCGACCAGGAGGCCCCAAGAGGCCTCCAAGAGTCCCCCAAAATACCCCCAAGAGGCCCCCAAGAGGCCCCAAGAGGCTCCTACGAGGCACCCAAGACGGTCCAAGGAGCTCCCGGGACCGCCAAGAGGCTCCCAAGACGCCCCAAGAGACCTCAAAGAGTATCCCAAGAGACATCCCAAGAGACTCCGCGAGGCATTCAAGAGGCCTTTGACTCTTCTGATCGCCCTTATCCTCCTCCTCCTCCCCCTCATCATCACCACCACCACCACCACCACCACCACCACCACCACCACCATCATCATCATCATCATCATCATCATCATCATCATCATCATCATCATCATCATCATCATTATCATTATCATTATCATTATCATTATCATCATCATCATCATCAGCATCATCATCATCATCACCATCATCATCATCATCAGCATCATCACCATTCATCATCATCATCATCATCATCATCATCATCACCATCACCATCACCATCATCATCACCATCACCATCACCATCACCATCGTCAAGACCACCACCATCATCGTCATCATCAGCATCATCAATATCAACATCAACATCATCATCCGCCTATTCCTCCTCCTCCTCATTCCTCCCTCCCCACCCTCATCATCCTCGTCTTCCGCCTCCGACTCCTCCTCCATCCCCCCCCCCCCCCCTTGGGGTACGACGGCCTCCCCAGCCCCTTGTTCCTCTGTATGCTGCCCCGCTTCCATGATCACCTCTACTCGCCTGGGCGTCGTTTTTGGATGGGCTGGTGGGGATACGCGAAGCGTCAAGAATTCACGATGGCTGGCACTGCCGCCAGCCACCAGAAAGAAGCGAACCCTGGTAGCGGACAGACGTGGGAGTGCGCAAGGCCGCCGGCCTTGCTGCTGGGCTGCGCTCTGGAGGCGACAGGGCCAAACTCGCTTGATTTGTGGACGCGCGAAGGTCGGGAATGCTGCCAGGCAGCGTCCAGAAGGAGACAAGCCGTGGTAACGAAAGCGACAGGATAGCGCGCAAGACCGCCAGCCAGCCTTGCCGCTGGACCGCGCCCTTGAGGCAATTGCCTCGCGACGAGGGGAAACGTGCAGAACCAGTGGGTCCGAGAGCTAGAAGTGCCACCAACCATCGTACAAAGAGAAGCGAACCGTGGTGGCCGGAGAGCTCTGAGAGTTCGCAGGGCCGCCAGCCTTGACACCTGGCTGCGTCTTTGAAGCAACAGCCTCGCAACGAAGGTAAGCGCGCAGAACCTGTGAATTCACGATGGCTGGCACTGCCGCCTGCCAGCCACCAGAAAGAAGCGAACCCTGATAGCGGACAGACGTGGGAGTGCGCAAGGCCGCCGGCCTTGCTGCTGGGCTGCGCTCTGGAGGCGACAGAACCAAACTCGCTTGATTTGTGGACGCGCGAAGGTCGGGAATGCTGCCAGGCAGCGTCCGGAAGGAGACAAACCGTGGCAACGAGAGCGACAGGATAGCGCGCAAGACCGCCAGCCAGCCTTGCCGCTGGACCGCGCCCTTGAGGCAATTGCCTCGCGACGGGGGAAAGCGTGCAGAACCAGTGGGTCCGAGAGCTAGATGTGCCACCAACCAACGTACAAAGAGAAACGAACCGTGGTGACCAGAGACAGTTGAGAGCGCCTGCCTGCCTTGCCGTCGGACTGTGCCCCTGAACCCAATGCCTCGTGACAGGAACAAACGGGCAGGATCTCTAAATACACGATTGTCGGCATGACCGATAGCCAGCGTCCAGTTGAGAAAATGCAGTGGAAACCAGGGAAACATGAATGTGCAGGCATGCCCACCAACAGGCGCTCAAGGAATGACGAATCGTGGTAGCCAGAAGAAAGACTCGAGAGTGCGCAGGACCGTCTACCGTGCCGCCAGGCTGTCCTTGAGGCAATTGTCCCGCGAAGGGGACAAGCGTGTAGAATCGATGGATGCACGAAATCCGGCGCGCCGCCAAACAAAAATCCAAGATGAGACGAACAATGGTGACCGGAGAGATGTGAGCGTGCAAGACCGCCGAACTTGCTGCTGGGCGTCCGCATGGAGGCCACTGCCCCGCGACGGGGGTAGCAACCACCCGCTGTCGCGCGAAAGCCAGCATTTCCGCCAGCCAGTGTCGAAGAGGAAATGGGCTGCAGTAGCGGATGTATGTCACAGTGCGCAAATACGCCAGCCTTGCCGCTGGGCTGTGACGATGGGGGTAAGCGCGCAGAACCTGTAGATGCACGAATGTCAACGCTGCCACCGCCCCCCGTCTAAACGAATACAGAACGTGGTCAGCGGAGGGACGCAACCATGAGGCAACTGCCTCGCGACGGGGGTGGCCGTGCGACATCTGTAGATGCACGAAACTCGGCAAAGCCGCCAGCCCGCCTACAAAAAGAGACGACACGTGGTAGCCGTAGAGACGTGGAGGTGTCCAGGACTGACGGCCGCGCCGCCTGCTGTGTCCTTGCAACACATGCTTCGCAACGGGGGGTGAATCTGTGCAGGGCCCCCAACCTTGCCGACGGGCTGTGTCGTTGAGGCAGCTGCCTCGCGACGGGGGTGGCCGTGCGTCATTAATCTGTGGATGTGCGAAACTCGGCATAGCCGCCAGCATGCCCCCCCCCCAAAAAACGCACTGCGGTAACCGTCGAGCCGCGAAAGTGTCCAGGACTGCCAGCCTTGCCGCGCCTGGTTGTGTCCTTGAAGCAACTGCTTCGCGACGGGGGTGGGAGTGTGCACGACCGGCAGCCTTGCCGCCAGACTGTCCTTGAGGCAACTGCCTCGCGACTGAGCTCAGCGTTGTGTCAAGAAACCTAGGTGAAGACATCGATGTTCTCGAGGGACAGGCCTCGATGTGAAGACGTCGAGGTGAAGGCCTCGTGGTAAGACCTCGAGGAAAGGCCCCGAGGTGAAGATCTCGAGGTGGTGCTCGACGATGCGAAGGCCTCTCGGTGAAGACATGTGTGTGGAAGTCGCGAGGTGAAGACATCGAATCGAGGACCTCGAAGGGCGCAGCACATCCGGTTTTGCCGCTGGGCTGTCCTCGAGATGCATACCTCGTGTGCTGGTGTCGCCCCGGCTTCCCAAACCTTGGTGTCATTGTGCAAATGCTCTTCGGACGTGAGCCAGACCCACACCCTTACCGGCGCCCCACGCGTCCTGCACAACAGCCCCCCCAGGGGCTGCGGAAAGCCGTCGGCATGCGGCGACGAGGACGAGGAGGACGAAGACGAGGACCAAAAAAGAGGAGGAGGAGGAGGAGGACGCGGAGGAGGAGGAGGAGGAGGAGGAGGAGGAGAAGGAGGAGGAGGCGGACGATGAGAATGATGAGGGCGAGGATGACGAGGACGAGGAGGAGGACGAGGACGAGGAGAACGCCGAGAACGAGGAGAACGAGGAGGACGAGGGGGATGACGACGACGACAAGGAGCAGGGGAACCAGGAGGGAATGGGATTGGGAATGGGCCATGGGCGGGAAGGCCGCCTGCCGACGCGGCAGCGCAGATGGCCTGTACGCCCTCGAGCGGCCAAAGCCCTTCGGCCGTGGAGGACGAGGAGGCATCGAGGAGACGCCGAGGGCGGCCCGAGGCGAGGCCCGGCCAGCGCCCACCGACACGTGGCGGCGGGGCCCCGCCTGCCGAGGCGGTGTACAGCGCCGCGTAGCGCGGGTCCGTGAGCAGGGCGGCCTCTCTCCGCCAGCCGCCCGCCGCCTCCCCCGACCGAGTGCTGGAGGCTCGTTCTGGGGACCTCCCTCCTCCTCCTCCTCCTCCCCCCCACTCTTCCCCCTTCACCTTCACCTCCTCCTCCTCCTCCTCCTCCTCCTCCTCTTCCTCCCCCCTCCTCCCCCCTGCAGCGCCTCCTCCTCCTCCTCCTTCTCCTCCTCCCACATGTACTCGCATCCCCAAGCGGAGTGCCGAGGAAGGCTGGAGGCTCCTTCGAAGAACCTCCCTCCTTCTCCTCCTCCTCCTTTTCCTCCTCCTTCTCCCTTTCCTGCTCCTCTTCCTACTCCTTCTGGCCCGTTCCCTCCCCCTCCACCTCCTCTTCCCCCCCCCCCCCGCTCATCCTTTGTTTTCTTCGCAAATATAGCGGCCGATTCCGATCGAAAAGGCGGCGTTCCGCCTGAGACGTCCTCGCTACTAATGATCATGAAGCTGAAGAATTTGCAAGAGCTTGACAGATAAAGGGCGGATGGTTTTCAACATGTGGCTCTCGCCTTAGCGCCGCACGCGCCCGTCTCAGAAACGTGCAACCATTTAGCGGATTGAGGACGGGTGGTATTCAACGTGTGGCTCACGCCTGAGCGCCACGCACACCCATCTTAACAATTTGCGAGAGCTTCACGGATTGAGGGCGGTTCCTTTTCAAAATGCGGCTCCCGCCCCAGCGCCACACACCTTCGCGTTGAACAATTAGAAGAGTCTTGCGGATTTGCATGACTAGCGAGCCAGAAATGTTTTTGGAGCCAGTCAGGATTGCCAAGGCGCAACAATTAATTTGATTCGCGGCTCTGACGACCCAAGAACGGTGTTCTGGCACGATTCAGGACCGTCAGGTCGCAGCAGTCCAGTGGAGTCGTGTCGTTCGAGTCCCGAGAGTAATGCTTTGGCACGCGGCAGGGTCTTGAAACGGTTGTCTCCGAACGGGGCACGTCCCTCAGTAGAAATGAATCCTTGTCGGGGCCTATCAAGGGGGAGCTGGAGTGAGGGCGTATTCCAACATCGTCGATGAGTCGTGGGTGTGCACTAGTCCTCCTCCTCCTTCTTATTCCTCGTCACTCCTCCTCTTCCTCCTCCTCCTCCTCCTCTTCTTCCTCCTCCTCATCATCAACATCATCATCCTCATCCTCATCCTCATGCTCATCCTTGTCCTCATGTTCCTCCTCCTGCTGCTCCTCCCCCTCCTCAGGGTCATGACAATGAGCATGATCATGAGGATCATCATCGACATCATCATCAGCAGCATCACCATGATCATGATCATCACCATCATCACCATCTTCAGCATCAGCGCCATCCTCATCATCATCGCCATCAACATCATCATCATCATCATCATCAGCAACATCATCAGCATCTACACCACCACCACCACCATCATCATCAACATCATCAGAAACGTCAGCATCACCAGCATCGCCGACATCACCGTCATAGTCCTCATAATCACCATCGCCATCATCATTACCATCGCCATCCACCATCATCAGCATCAGCATCAGCATCATCATCACCATCGTCAACATCATCATCATCATCACCACCATCAGCGTCACCATCACCATCACCATCACCATCATTATCAGCAGCATCAGCATCTGCAACAGCATAAAGCAACATCACCAGCACCAGCATCATCAACAGCATCATCATCATACTCAGTATCATCATCCATCGGCATCAGCATCAGCATCAGCATCAGCATCATCATCAACATCATCATCACCCCCCCTCCTTTCCCTCCTCTTCCTCCTTGTCCTCCCTCTTCGTCCCCCTCGTCCTCCTTCTCCTCCTCACTCTCCTCCTCCTCCCTCTTCCATCTCCCCCTCCTCCCACACTACCTCGCCTCGCCCAGTGGGACTCCCTGGGCAGGCCACGCCGATGCCTGGGACCTCCCAGGAACCACTCGCTCCACTCGTGCGCCGACTCGCTGGAGGACGGAAACGCGGCATACACAGAAACTGTCGGAGCTCCGCGCGCGTCTCTGGGATAGGCGAAGGGGTTAGGTCGGGCATGCCTTCCTGCAGGCGGATTATGGGCGAAAGTTGAAATGTAGCCCACAACTAGTCAAAAACAGTCAAAGATAGTTGAAACATCGTGCCCAGACTATGTGTTGACTGTTTCTTAACATCGGCGTTTGCGAAAAAACAGCTCAGGTACAACGACTAGAAGATGGCGCAAGAGCGCCCCCCGCGCCCCCAACTTCGATGTTCATCTAAGGGGACAGGCCGCGGTTTGCAAGTGTGGGCGTTTTTCCCGAAACGACTCGCCTTCCCCCGCGTCGACCACCCCACACTTTGAACTTGGGACAGGGGGCTGGGCCCGCTTCAACACACATTAGAGATCGGCGTCTATATATATATATATATATATATATATATATAGGTGTGTGTTTCTTTGAAAGACAGCAGCAAAGACACACACACACCAAACAACACTGTATTCCTCATGTAGAGGAGAAAGCCAGACGCAACGCCAGAGCGAGTCGCCTGGCGGCGCCCCTGGCGCCGCCCCCAACCGCGCGCCCTGCGCGCTCTGCGCGCGGCGCTCTGCGCCCGAGGGGGCGCGGAGCCGCTCGCGCTCCTCGCCTCCCACCCGCCGGGGGAGGGCCGCGGCGACGGCGGCGCCGCTGCGGACGAGAGTTGGGTCGGGCATGTCCCCCATACAGGCGGACCTGGGGCGAAACATTAAGAATGGTTAACAACAAATCCTCAGACATTGTCCAACGTTGTCGACACATCGTCCCGAGGCTATTTGCTATACTTCTGGGGAGCCATCCCTCCTGCAAAGGGACGTGCCCGACCTAAGACGACAGGCCCTCGGCCCCCTCCCGAGGCCTTTTGAGAGGCGGGAGCGGCAGGACGAGGGGGGCCCTCGGAGGTGGACAGACCTCCTACCCTGACACGTCGATTGAGGAACTGGCCATTTTCGGTTCGCGAGAGGGCGTCGCGGCCTTCATTCGTGCGGGTCCAGGTCCGTCGGTTTCGGCCCCGGGCCGTTTTCACTAAGGGGAGGTTTACTAGAGGGAGGTTTGTCCACCGCCGAGCCGATTGGGAGCATCCTCCTGTAGAGGAGCATCCCTCCTGTAGAGGGACGTGCCCGACTTACAAGACGCCAGGCCCTCCGCCCCTTTCCCACGGCCTTCTGAGAGGCGGGAGCGGCAGCAGGGCTGAACCTAAACGGAGTTGTTCGTCTTCGTTCTCTGTTCGTTTTCCCTCGCTGTTGTCCCCAAGCCGCCGTTGCTGCAACACGAAGCCGAAACGAAACCGGCCCCCGAGATCACCAAAGACACCGTTGAGGTCCAGCCCTGAGCGGCAGGACGAGGGGGACCTTCTGGGAAACGGCGGGGCGAGGCGTCCTCTCCGCCGCGGGTCGACCCCCCCCCCCCCTTGGGGGGTGGACAGACCTCCTACCCTGACACGTCGATTAGCGAATCGTCCGTTTTCGCTTCTCGAGGGGGCGCCCCGAGGTCTGGGCCCGAGGTCGTTTTCACTGAACCACGTTTTGCTAAACCGCGATTCACTAAACAAGGGCTCCCAACTTCGCGCTTCGCGCTGCGCGAAGCGCGAAGTGCGAATACCTTCGCGCTCTCGCGCCGCCTCCCAGGGGGGAAGAGGAGGATGAGGAGAAATCGGAGCCGAACCGCGAAGCGCGAAACGCGAATAACCTCGCGCCCTCGAGGGCGCCCTTGCGAAAAGGGGTTCTGTCCATCCCCCCCCCCTCACGACCAATAGTTCGCCGCTCGGTCCGGGGACCCGTCCCGAGCCTCGAAGATCGGGCGGGTGGCAGTGGGGGGGGCCCCAAATAGGGGGTGGCCCCAGAGGGGAGGGAGAAGGGGAGGGAGGGAGGGAGGGGAGAAGGAGGGAGGAGGAAGGGGAAGGAGGGAGGAGGGGAGAATGAGGGAGGAGGGGAGAATGAGGGGAGGGAGAAGGGGAAGGAGGGAGGAGGGGAGAAGGAGGGAGGAGAAGGAGGGAGAGCAGGAGAAGCACCAGGAGCGCGTGCGCAGGGGGTACGTAGGAGGAGGGACCCGTCAGGTGGCAATGCGCAGTGGGTCAACTGGCGGGTGAAGGAAAGGGCCCTGCAGGGACCCGTCAGGGCCCTTCAGGAGCCAGCACGGGCCCAACAGGGGACCCCCAGGGCCCCTTTCGGGCCTTTTCCTTCACGAATGTGATTCTTTCACTATCATGAATATTATTACTAATATTCTTACTATCATTCCTCCTCCTCCTCCTCCACCTCCTCCTCCTCCTCGTCGTCGTCCTCCTCCTCCGCCTACTCCTCCACCCTCCTTCTCCTCCGCCACTCGCTCCGGGTTGCACCTGGAGGCTGGCCTCCCTCCCCCGCCCGAAACTATAAGGGCGGGGGGTGAACTCGAGAATCTCCGACGTCCAGCGGCTCTGGAGGATGTCTCGGGCATCGCGGCCTTGTCAGAGCGTTCCGGAACGCCCCGAGAGCGTACCTGCACGCTCTGCACGAATGCATCCCAGTCCGAGCCCCGTCCGACCCACCCCCTCCCTGTTGCTCTCCCCCTCCCCCTCCTGTCGCCCTCTCCCTCCTTCTCCCCTCCCCTCCCCCTCTCCCCCTCCTCCTCCTGTCGCCCTTCCCCCGCAGCCGAAGAAGATACATCAAAATAATACGAATAATCATGAACTGCTGGCGAATGATAACACCGATAAGCAGAATCATAACACCAGTGCTAATCATAGCTAAACTATGTATAGCAGTACGACAAATAATCAACATACTAAACATAACACCAATAATAATACGAATAACAGTAACAACAACAATACTAATACAGTTGATGACAACAACGCCGGTAACAATGATACTAATACTGGTATCAGTTCACAAGTGTAGCAACATTTGTTCGACTAAAGATACTAATGCTACGAATAATAAGACTAATCTAATAACGCGAGCAAGACCAATGAGAGCAATCTTAACCATAGTAATCACAACTAGAAACA